AAAAAATGGTTTCAAGGGTTGACATTTGCTGAATCATTATCCCTGTATCTTATAAAATTATAATCAGAAAAATGTTCTGCTGCAAACGAATTCCATTGGTTATCAAGACAGAAAGGGCACAGAAGCTAAGCTGTAAGTTCTTTGTTTTGTGCCGATGAGTAGCGTTGCAGAACTCACTTTGAATGAAAGACCTGTAAACTATATCACCAGGATATTTTCCTAAAAGACAAGCAAGACACAACTCGAATCACCATAGGTGGGACCTGTTTTGTTTTCTATTTCAAAAGATGAAGGAGACTTTTTTCCATCTCCTGCTCAATCTTTTCTCCTTTCCAAATATTATAACCTTTAGGAACAAGCTCTTCAAAAGGTTCCCTGGTTGTCATTGCTTACTGACTGGGTATGAAGACCTGGTACGGTACTTGAAAACAAATGAATGACTTTCTCATAAGTTTATTGAGTATATTTTTTTGTCATTGTACAGTGAAAATAAAATGAATGTGACAAAAATGAATTGATTTCATTTTCCACTGAAATGGAATGTCACTCACACTCTCACACTTTTTATGTGCTCACTATTTTGCTAGAAACTTTGCAGTGAAAGTTGTATTGTTCATGCTTTCAGAACAAAGGTTTGGTGTTTTTTTTAATTGCTGGATTTCCTCATTACAAATGTATTCATTTGTTAAAAATATATGCAGATAGCAGACAAAAAATGGAAACACCAATGTAAAGTCACTTAACAGTGCATTGGCCCAACCTATGCAGCCATTGTGTGTTGTGGCATAGAGTCTACCAGCATCCAGAATTCTGCAGGAGGGATAAGGCACCATTTTTCAAGGAGACGTCAATCAACCACCTGGTTGTTGGAGTTGAAAAACACTCAGAATATCACATATACGTTTGATTGAGATCAGATCAGGTGATTCACAAGGCCTTGGTATAGAGAAAACATGCTCATCACACCACTGGGTTACAACGTGTGCTCTGTAGATAGGGGCAATCATGCTGGAAAACACACCTCTAGCCAGGAATGAAACGCTGCAACATGGGGTGAAGATGATCGCTCAAGTACAGACTAGCATTGACCTCGCTTTTAAAGGCAATGAGACCACTCAAATCATGCCTGGCAAATGAACCCACAACATTACAGAACCACCAAAGCCATTCACTGTTCGAACCAAGCACTCAGGGCTGTATATATCTTTAGACTCTTGCCATACCCACTCTTGTAGTTTGTTAAAACCATGGTGAAGCCTGAGTCACCTTACAACATCAGGTTTTGACACTGTTTGGTATCTCATTGCCTGTGCTCTTTGTACCATTGGACTCACAAACGTGCACTGCCAGGTGTGATGAGTGGATATTACAATCCTGCAGTGGTTGTTTCTACTCATTGTTTCCCTTTGCTTATGAGGTCTTTACCTTAGAGCTCTTTGATGACAACAAAATAGATATTGTTTTTTGTGAAACAACAAGTTAGGCTGTCGTGGTCACTAAAACGTTTGCCAAATGTGCTTCAGCGATCACACCTCTTTTAATGTCATTGTGGTCTCTTCTTGCTGGCATGCTAGTCATAATCATAGGCCTGTCCAGCATTATTTATTATACAAGACCATAAGAATACTTGTATGTTATTTGCTTCGTGCAGAAGCCACACCTATGTGAAAGCCCTTGCTTTACAGACTCTTAGTGTCCTCGTTTACCCAGTTGTTTCTTTTTGTCCACTACTTGTATATACTGTATCTCCTATGAATCTCGCTAGTTGATAGCATCCGTCCTGCGCAGAGACTTTTTCAGAATGATTATGATTTAATTATGATGGGTGTTAAATAACAAATCAACAAGCTTGATCGCTTTTCTCTGAGCCCTAGCTGCCACATATCATCCCTAATCTGCTAATCTCAAAGATGTCCCATTTTGAGAACAAGGTCTAGTGGGTAGGATATCAACTTCACAACTATTACATTTTCCTCTTGCAAGAAAGACAATACATGTATAGTATGTAATGCTGGAATGGTGTTACATCAGGATGGGCCAACAGAAAAGGCACAAAACAACATCTCAGGACTTGATCAATGTAGTGATTCAAGTTGCCATCAATCAATACAATATAGAGCTCTGTAGTGACTAGATACTCCACACTTGATTTCCCCCTTCAGTTAGTCTGTTGTATACAAGTGCTGTATCTCTCAACGATGGCATGAAGGAGTTGTTCACTTGGTGAGAGGGGCATATTTTTCCTTTTTGTGTTTTTATTGCCTGGTTTTCACCAGGCTTTACATTGCTGCTATGCATACACGTTATAGAAGGTTTTTAATATTCTAGTGATTTAAGCACTGTTAAACAGAAAACATATTTTAATAGTAAGCATGCAGATTAAAAAAAGTCTATTCAATTATGACATTTGTGATTCAGACATTATGCCATATGTGAGCCAGAAATGGCACTAAATAATGAAACTGAGTAGCTTTGGAAACTAGAGAAGAATTTTTCATTCTGTAATTACAGAAATTTCATGATTTTCTCCAAGGAAGGGAATCAAAGAAAGATATCTTGCAAATTTCCTCTCAAAATCACTATGATTTTGAATTAACTCGAATTCCCCTTGGCACTGAGCCTGTTGAATATAGCTTAAGCAGAACAAGTAGAGGCTCACTGTGTTATTAAAACTGCATGAGTTGAAAAATGTGTTTCTGTTTGTACATCCTAAAGAAACAGAGAACCCAAATGTCCCATCTAAATCAGGGCAAGATGCATTAAAATGGTTTCTTCCAGAGTTACCTTTGGCTGTAATTTATACTTAAAGTGTCCTATTGATTGCTTAATGGAAAATAGGATGTTTAATGGAATTCTAGCGTTAATGTTTTCAAGACAGTTTCAAACAACTTCATGCATTTAGGCTAATATGTTACTTAAAACAATCTTCTACTTCATTCAATCTTCTACAATGTTCCAAAAGATTTGAGTGCAGGATTCTAATGAGTTTTTGAGTAGTTATTGTTATCCTGGATAGTGATAGTTTATACTTTATAATTCTGAAAAGTTATTCTAGAATTGAAATGTAAAATCAATGTTTGTTAAGACAATTTTGAATGTCTTTGAGGGTGTTGTGTCAATAAAACTTGTATCGCTTATTACATTTTACTTTTTTACTGTTTTCTTCTTGTATTCATTACAACATCCTGAATTCACATAACAAAGCAGCAACAGCTGCATGCATTGAACAGCTGTCCAAGCACTGTGCCTTTTTTTTCTAATTCAAAATGTGACAAATTTTCATCCCATTGTCGAACATCTCTGATAGCATGTCAGTATATATGATGTTTGCCTTTTGGATTTCCAGTCCCTTTGATGCAATTGCAGATGAACACTTCACTCAGGAGAAGGTCAAACCCTAATCTCACCCACTTCTACCTGTTTATAAGCATCATGCTTTTTCTCTACTCACTCACTTTTCTCAACCCTTCCTACATCCCATCACCCCTGAAGCAGCTCCCTGTCTTATTCCTCATTAAAGAAGGAAGAGGTTCCAACTGATAGGTTGTTGTTAACCTCAGCCAGGGGAGTAACCCCAACAGAAATCTAGATACCACTTATCCTCCTTAATTAGGGTTTGACCAAACAACTTAATTCAGATTTCCATAAGATTTGAGTGCAGGGTTCTAATGAGGATGCTTTCTTTGTTAAACAAGTAATAATCAAGCATGACTTTTTGAAATCACTTGTCATCTTTTAAAATTCCTTATCTTGTTCAGTTGCGCCATGACACTCTGAACAACTAGAAAATCACACAGCAGTTTGATTAGCTACTCTGATAAGAATCCCACAAAGCTTAAAACGTCATATAGTGCGAAATATCTTCATTTTCAGGTTTTCTCTAGAAAAGAGTACATCTATACTAAGTATATCCAAGACCACAGAGAATGCAAATGAAGTCTCCTTGGCTTTTGTGAAATACATCCTGTCTTGCTTTGAAGCATGCCACCAGGCTTGCAGCCCTCTCCATGTGTGAGTGATGAAAAAAACCACATTAAAGGCACATGGTGAAGTGCAGCCATGTGACTCGTTAATAGAGTAAGTGCTCAGGTCCCTGCCTCATACCAAAAAACTGTGCCCAAAACGTTAATTACTTCACCGCACACGCAGGAATTCTTGTGTTTATGGTTGCAGAAAGAAACTTGCAACCCTGCTATTTGTAATCCAAAAGCACGGGAATCCCTGGAAAAGTAGTGGCTCCTGCAAACTCTTATGCACCACACGGAGGGTGCATAGCACAACATAATTGAGGCGTTGGTCCTGTTTCGAGATCACAGATGTGGGCACTGCCAACATTGCCAATCACTGCAAGTGATACCACTGCTCGGCTTCTCAGATCGTGGATGCCACTGGGGCTCATAAGTAGCAATTGCAGGTACTGTAGGAGCAGGTGAAAGAGAAGGGTAAGCCTCAGCTTTCTCCAAGAGAAGATGCCTCTGCTGTAGTTAATAGGAAAATATTCTACTGTATTTTCATTGAGTATGTTTAAAGACCTCATGGAGCAGTTCTTTTTCATATCGTGATTGGAACAGTGGTAAACTGCATGTCACATTTACTAATTATGGTCCATGGCTTGCAGATTATACTTGAACCTCCCCTCTGCATCCTGGTGTTGCCTTAAGATGAAGCTCGCAAAGTGGTTGTGTGAAATAAATACACCCCAATTCTTTACAGCTAGTTTAAGACAAGTGCAGCAGGAATGTAATCAACCACACTGTCAGTTTATCATAAACAGTTTTGCTTTGTGTGTTAAATTGTTTATCTATAGGAAAGCACTGAAACCTTCATGAATAATCTTATATTGACTAGAAATCTGCTGGAATTTGCTTTTTTACTGCTGCTCCTATAAACTAAGGTATACAGCACAATTTAGGCAGCAGGTTGGTTCTGGATTAGAAATGGTCATGCAAACTCGCAAATTTGAAAAAGAGACATAGTATGATAGGATGAAGAAAACTTACCCTGTTTGTTGTGAAAGAAGTTTAGTGTTTGCCTCTTTCTTTCCCTTTCCAGCAAAGTCTGTATGAAACAAGAAACAATACAAAGAACTTCATAAGTGCACAGTGTTCAGTAAATTCCCCACGTTAGTCCATCGGACCCTCTGAATTTGTGTCGTGGAGACTGACTGGCTGTCAAGGGAAAGCCTCCCAGCAGCCGCAGTGGCTGTAGGATCCCAGTGGGCAGAAGACACACCTTGAGACGTGCTCTTCACCAATCAAGAAGGGGAAGGGCGGGGGGGTGCAGCTCTGCCTCCTCCTCGCTCCGCTCTGTCAGGAGAAAAACACTCCACACACTCTGCTTCTTCAGCCCCCCTCCTCTTGGGGAGTGCTGCAACTTGCTCCCGGACTCCGCACATTCCTCTCATACTGCTGCCAACCTGCCGCTGCAGCAGCTGGGATGTGTTAAACGAGGCAGTCAATTTTTATAACCAAGGTCATGGGCTTTATCTCCAAGCAAACTCCAGACCTCGCCCTCCCCTTGAACTAAGCCGCTGTAAGACTCTTCCTTTCATTAACGCTGCAAGGATAACAAGGAAAAGAAAATTAGCGTTGGAAACAAATGCTGTATCTACAGCCTCTAAGCCCAGTTCTGAGGAAATTAATTGGAATCAGGTCATTTAGAGGGGATTTCAGGGCTGCTGGCTGCCCCACCACGGAGTTTGAAAAAATAGATTGTCTCTTCTGTTAACCCTTTGGCTGAATGATTTTTCATTTTCTTAAATGTTTTTTTTCTGAGTAAATCTGACTGCTTTCTACATTGACCAATGAGCATGAATGTGCTGGAATTAATCAAGGTCCAATAGTTGGGTTACATCTGCTCTCCGTTGAAGTTGATCGCTTCTAGGAGTATTTTCCGTGTGTTTCCACTCCTATAGGAACTGTAGTGTTCATTCCCTGCACCAGGAAGAACATGGTCCTAGGAAAAGTGTGCATAGTCATTACTGTTGGTTCAAGTGGGGTGGCAGGAAGGTAAGTTGATCAACATTTAGATTACACATTATGTAAAAAAAACAATGGGTGGTTCAATTTTTTTTAAAAATGTTGTTTTATAGCACACTCCCCAATAGCTCACTATGTTTCAATCATGAAACAGTGGAAAACGTAATCTCGGAATCTGAACTAAATTCTACCTTCACCTCTTCTGACCCAAAGTCCTCCTTCATACCCGAAGATGCGATTTTGCAACACTACAGACTCTTAGATAATTGAACTCTTTTCAAGGAAAATAGTCAAAGATAACCAGGTCTTATTTTTTAGCTGCTGTTAAGAGCTGTGGGTAAGAGATGATCTTGGATTATTCTTTCCTTTTGTTTCTTGACAGACTCCATTTCGCATGATTCTTCAAGCACTGTGGTCAGGCTTTCTCCAGGAGTTAATGTAAGAGCCACTTAAGAGACTTTTTTGCAAATCATCTGTCTTATTGTCTTCTGAGGGAAATGTTTTTTTAAAGCATAGAAAGCTACTTTTAAATGCTGTAAGTTATATATGATAATATGTGAAAAGAGGCAGTCCACACATAACATTGATAAATTGTACATTGAGCACGTATGGTGTATTATATTTAATCAAGTGAGGGGGGAAAAGACTGCACTTTGAAAAAAATATTTATCAATATATTAATGAGATGATTTATTTGTTTTAATTTTCACTTTTACTCCTTTTTAGTGCAGACTTTAACCAGAAAGCCAGGACACTGCTAAATACCTGTTCAGCTCCAAACACATCCCCAGTGTGGAGTTATTCTCTTACCATACCTGGAACCCTGTTCGTTTCCAATTTCTATTTTTTCAACGCCTGGAGGAAAGAGCTCTCACACACACCTCTTTTCCCCATTAGAGAGATCAGTGACATCTCTTTTATTTTTTTAGTTTTATTTTTTTGTGCAGGAATAATGGAAGCCAACAAGTACTGAAAGATAACACAAAAATGCTTAAAGGGAATTAAACATTAATCATTTAATAGGTTAATGGTGAGGTTATACTTGGAACATTTGAGACAAAACAGTAAGCTGATTTATTTTGTGCTGTCTGACTACCATACAGCTTACTAAAGGTATCTCATTTTGCATTTGGATAGCTTTAAAGAGAGCAGGGAAAGCATCTTCTTAATACATATCAAGCAATAAACTGAAGTTTAATGAAATGCATGTTTTATGATGCTTAGCTTACTGTGTTTGGCCTTTCATCTCTCTGCCTTAGTGACTTGCCATGGGGACCAGCAGGGAGCTGGAGAGGAGGAGGTGAACCAACCCATAGATTGGGAATAAACCAGTTTATTCTAAAAAAAATACTTTTCATTTTCTCTTCACTGGGTGCAGTTGTTTTCTGCCTACTGCCTAGAGTCATGTGTAGAGAAATAACTCTGGCACAAGTGCCGTGCTTTGTTAGTTTACAGTATACTACGGCAGTGCTATATGCCTGTACCAACAAAGTGTATTTACAAGGATAAAAGGTGAGTGGAAGGGTACATTAATTTGAAGTTTTTTCCTTTCATTAGCTTTTTTTTAATGGAGTTTGTAACAGAAAATCGGGAGGAAGAAAATCTTGCACTCTTAGGTTTGCCAATGGATATACGTCACACATCTCTTACTTCTCCTGCCACCCCACCTACACCCCTACAGTAACTCCCTGCCTTGGCCCACACACTTTCAGATAGGAATTAAGCTGCTTCAAAATTGAATAAGAAGAAAGAATTCTTATTCTTTCCTCTTATTCAATTAATAAGCCTACAGGGAGGCCTACAAGTAGGAGGTCAATCTCCTTACAACATGGTGTGATGACAACAACCTCACCCTCAACGTCAGCAAAACCAAGGAGCTGATCGTTGATTTCAGGAAACTGCAAACCGGACATGCCCCTATCCACATCAACGGGACTGAAGTGGAAAGGGTCAGTAACTTTAAATTCCTTGGTGTCCATATCACCGAGGACCTCACATGGTCTCTCAACACCACCTGTCTGATCAAGAAAGCGCAACAGATGCACTACAGAAAGCACACTGACAGGCTGCATCACAGTGTGGTATGGCAACTGCAGTGCTGCTGACCGCAAAGCCCTACAGCGGGTGGTGAAAACTGCCCAGTCCATCACTGCGGTTACCCTCCCATCTATCCAGGACATTTATGACAGACGGTGCTTGAGGAAAGCTCTAAGCATAATCAAAGACCCCACACACCCCAGCTACAGACTTTATGATCTGCTACCATCTGGAAAACGGTACCGGAGCATTCGGGCCCGGACTACCAGACTCAGAGATAGTTTTTACCCCCGCACTATCAAACTGTTAAATTCCCAGCCTCTCTCACTCTCACTCTCACCTCACCACTCACCTATGATCTGAACCTCACAGTGCCTTCTTCCTTCCTTTCTTTCTTACCAAAAACCCAAACACACATTGAAAATCTTCTACCATACATGTCAAAAGCTCACTCCCCATAATTTCTATCCCTTTATTTTATTCTGTTGATGCATATGAACTTGAACTTAAACCTTATTGCCATATGTAACCGGTACTGGTACAATGGAATTCTTACTTACAGAAAGTCTCTCGTTTGTAAAACAAGTGTAAAAAACAAAACAAAGTGCAAAGAGTGCATCAAGACAATGTACAAACAAACAATAGACAATGTGCAAGTAAACATGCAGACAGTTTGAATGTAAGTAAACATGCAGACAGTTTGAATGTAAGTAAACATGCAGACA